ACTAATGACCCTCTCCAACCTTTGTTGCAATACCTTCTCCTACATTTGGAGAAAACTGTCAAATATAAGAACTTGCAAACTGGTGTACTAAACCGCTGTTTCAGAAAGAAAAAAACTTACTGCATCTACAACTATAATATTTTTTCCCTTTCTCTGGCGTTTCTCAGTGTCCTCCAGTAATGCCTGAGCTTCCTCAAGCTCCCTCTTCTCTATCTCCCTAAGGGTTCTTTGTCTCCTCCTCTCCTCAAGCTCTGTAGCAAGTCTCATCTGTTCCGCCTCCTCGGTTAGCTACAGAAGCTTAAGATTTATCTGCTCCTCTTCACGTTCCTTCAAAAACAAAACACAGAACAGAGAATTTGTCCTCAAGTGGTGATCAAGCAAAAGAAGAAGTACGAACGGTGTTTCAATTCATGTAGGAAAAATACCATCTCAAATTGCAGACGCTCTTGTTCCTCCTTTCTCTTTTCAATGATTGATTTCCGAGCGAGTAGTCTTTTGTGCTCTGTTTCTACAGACTCCTCTAGATTTGGTACTATGTCACCAAGTTTTGATGCTTTACTTAGAGCAGGAAATAACATCGCTCTTACTTTGCTCATAGTCTCACCAAAAATAGCCAGAGGATTTCTCAGACAATCAAGCTCAATCCCCTGATCCAACACCAGATTTCCAAAAACTACAACACCCTTCACATGATCAACTTTCATGGCCACAAAATTGTTTTTCACAGCGTCAACTGAAATCTTCTCGACAACTGAGAAGTCGAAGAATGGGATCATCTGAGCTAGATACGTAATTCTTATCGTTTGATACATCTTCGACATCTGAAATACATTCTGTAAGTACATGCACAAATATACACACCAGGTTAAAACATATGAGTGTAATTTACCTGTTGAAGCAGCTTCAGAGTAGCAAGCTTCTCCAAAGAAGGAACATATTGAGAGAGCTGTACTTCTGGTAAAGAAGGAGCTGATGAAAGCTTCGCACCGAGTTTGGAAATTCTATCCAACAAAGGCTTAACCTTGGAACCAAGATCAAGTGGTTGAAATTCATGCTCTAAGAGATGGTATAGATCTTTGACCTCTTGAGTTGCACAGCTCAAAACCTAATTGTGGATAAGTCAGACTCGAATCAAATCACCACAAGAAGATAAAATATGACACAGAATGAATATTTTCAACTATGAGACTCACCAGCTCTGAGAGAAGTGATGCGCGGGAAAGCTGAAAATGGAAGAAATGGAATTAGAGAAAAGCAAGCCAGAGACAAATGATGTAATATGACTAGACAAAACAAACTAATTAAAATGTTACCATATCTCTGCCCTCTAATTTAGGTTCAAGATTGAAGTCTATGAGGTTAGCCATCTTCAAATTGTGGTCTTTCTCATTTTCAAGTTCCGAATGGGATGCACTGTGAGACGTCTGACCAAACGGTGGAACAGATAAGGCCGCCAAGACAACAGATGACGCTATTAGCTGCAAATCCTTCTGATTTAAGTTTTTATTGAAATTTTTCTGCAAGCTAAACAGCTTAAACCATGCATAAGCATGGTAAAGATGGCTAGAAGAAGACATCCAGAAGATCTCAGTCAATTTGGAATAATAAAACACCAACAAAGATGACTTGGGCTTTTTCTTGACCATGACATTAATCCATACATATCTTCCACAGAGCAAAAAGCTTCTTGCAAAAAAACAAATTGTACGAAATGATTCTATGTCATCCCTAACAACGGAAGGAGATGAAAGGACGATTAGGGAAAGACACAAACGTACCTGCCAAAGTCCAAGCTCAGTAGCAACATTTAACTGCTCAAATCTTGTGTTCAGGTAAAGTTCCAAGCTTTCTGGCACCGTCAAATCAGGTTGGTCCCTCTGGTCTCCGTATTTGTTAAGGTTTGCCAAATGATTTCTGATAACTTCGCAAAGCCTACGAAATTCTGTTGTTCTTTTATACTGCTTACAGAACTCGAAGGCTTTATGCGCTGTCATCTACAAGATAATAATCAGTTCTGTCTCGAGACCAGTTTTGACCCAATAAAAAAGCTAACAAAAGTAACGTCGAAGGAGAACTAACCGCATACAATGCTTCCAACTTTGAGTTGTTCCGCGATATCTCAAGAACTGTTCTGTAAGCCTCCCACGAAAACTTAAGCCACGGTGTAACCACCTCAAGATAAGACCTATCTGTTTCAAGCTCATCAACATCAAATGCCTCTTCCTCCTCCTCCAGAGCATCCGCCTGACTACGAGCTTTCTCGGTAACAAGCCATAGGAAGTGTTTGGTTACTTCTTCAAAGGAACTGACATTGACTTGCTGACAAGAGTTACGGTATTGGATCAGTCCATCTTTAGCAAACAGTCCCCTCCTCAATTCAACACAAAGTTCCATATATCTAAACATAATCTTTTCATGTGGTTTCTGCCAAGATCTAAAGCTCCTCGAGGTAACGAGATCGTGAAGCATCTGGAGAGCCTCTTGTTTCTGCCCAATATTGACAAGTTCTGCAAACACGCAACACAAATTTCCCATTCATAAACACAAAACTAAACTCATGGTGAAAGAAAGACTAAAAATTTCACAAGGCATGAAGCCAATAAAGACAAAACAATGTGTCGTTTACCATCGGCACGCTTTATTGCATTCTCTGGATTGGGAAAAATCGCCATGATTCAGACCTGAAAGAGCGAAGGGTTTCAATGAATATTTAATCAAAATCATCAATTCACGAACGCAAATCAAACGAAGCAGAGGCAGAATCAAAAGAAAGTATTATGCTTTACAAAGCAACTAACGAAAACAGTCGTGCGAGAGAAGTAACGAGTATCCAGAGGCGAGAGAGGAAAAAACCCTAGGGTTTTGCTATCGTATTAAACTCGTAACAAAACAAAAGGAACTGAACTCATCTTTATGATCACTTAAGCAATTCTATTAGGGATTGTTTCAAGAGGTTCTCGTAATATATATAGAAAAAAGAGAGACGCCGGTTTTGCCCTTTTATATAAACAACTCTTAAGAAATTTAATAATTTATGGAAAACTACTAAAGACTTTTGTCATCGGATCCACTTTATTATGTTAGTTCATTTCCTTTTATCTATTTATCAATTATTAGAAAAAATCTAGAATTTGGAAAATTGATTTTCTTATGATTATAAGATGATATAATTAATTAAAACTAATATTATTAAATATATTTAAAATGTAATTTGATATAATGTATATTAATGAGATTTTCTAAAGGTTTAATTTGTAAAATAACCATAAGAAACTAATTTGTTTCATGGCTAGACCATAGCCATTAGATATTAGAGAAATTTTTAAAAATACCACTTTTCAAGTGACACTTTACAAAAATGTCACACTTTTGAAATCTTTACAAAAATGTCATTTTTTCAAAATTATTTTTTCTTTATATTAATTATGTTTGGGTTAATTATGTTCTATTAATATTTAGTTATGAGAGTTTAGGAGGGTTTAGGGGTCAAAACATTTGTTAGTGTTTAGAATTTTAAGATATATGGTTTAAAAATCTATAATTAGTGGCATTTTTGCAAATAAACATCCCCAAGTGACATTTTTGCAAATNTGCACATAAAAAAAAGATGATGATTAGTTTTGTAATTAAAGAAACTTTTGTTGGTTATGTATGCAAATTTCCTTTCTCTAAAGATAAAAAAGTACTCTCTGTGTTTTATAGTATATGATGTTTTGCCGAAAGCACAAACATTAGAAAACAAAATTCTTTCAAAAAGTAGAATTTAATATATTAATTAAAACAATTCAACCAAATATAAAAAGACTTGCAAAAGATTATTGGTCACACAGTTTTCAGTATCTTAAAATATCAAAACATCTTATATTGTGAAACAGAAAAAAACTCTAAAACATCCTGTATTATGAAACGGAGGGAATATCAAATAACACTATAAGAAATGTTCATTTGCCATATTTACGATGGCCATATTTCGTTGCGACGAATATGAGATTTGTTTTGGTCGCAGATTCGTTAGAAACTGTGACAATTGTGCAATTACATGGACAATCGTCGCAAACACGTCACATCACCTGTAACGAATATGCGACCATGTCTAGAGTCAGGAAATTAAGTTCAGATAATTCGGTAAAATTTTCTAGACACATCATATTATGATAAAATATGTATGTACGAGAAATAAGTGATCCAAGTCTGAAAAAGAAAAGTGATCCAATACTGAAAGCTGATGGTCTTGTCATGGAGGCCGGAGAAGTTTGTTCACAGCCGTGTCAAGAACATCCACATTTCTCCTCAGGTGCTTTCTGCAGATTGATTTGTTAAGGATTGTACAACAAAATCCAACGAAACTACGTTTATAAAAAAGCTTTGGACCTCACAAGAGCATGTCTTTGTCAGTGTGTTCAAGATTCAGACACAAACATGGTTGACACGCAAAGAACCATATTAACTATTTAAGGATACAACCGAGCAGCCAGATTCTCAACGCCTTTAATTTCCTCGTTTAATCTGTATGTTGAGCGAAAAAAATTCACACCAGATACAAAATACAGAAGAACTGGTTCACGGCTGTGAAAGTTAGAGGTCAAGGCTAAGGAATCACATTAAGCAACATATCTGGACACAGACTCGGTATCAGATTGAGAGTGATATCAAGATCATTATGAACGTACCTGAGGCAAGAGTTGATATACCGGTTTCCTTTAGTGGCTGCATCTAGAGCTGCAAATTCATAAAACAATCGGCTCAAGTTCATTGTTCACTTGCTTTAAGTCCTAAAAAGATTACGAAAAACCAGTTAGTCTCAGAACAGGTAGCTTTCTCACCGGTTTCCTGAAGCCGTCCAGCTGCATCACCAAAACAACTCATGTGATCAACTGAGCTACCAGTAGCCTATAACACCATCATCAAAAAAGTCTCATAAACCACACAAACAAAGAATTTAATCGAATAATCCATCCCGAGAAAGAGAACAGTTTCCATGAAAACAAACAGTTTCAGTAAGTGCCAATCAAACTTAGCAATGTTTTCATTGTTCCACGAACATCTCAAGAATCACATTATCTGGTGCAGCAAAAGATACCATAATCTTTCCAGAGCTCAAAACATAGACATTGCAATAGACATTTGTGAAATTCCCTAGTCTCAGAATCCAGAAGACCTCGCTTCTGTAACTTGAAGGAAGCTAGAGCAAGGCAACTAAAGCCTATCCCCTAAATTCCAAGAAACTGTTCGAAACTGATGGATTTAAACCCTTGATTTGAAATCGCCCAAATGTCATATCTTATCGGCAACGATAAGCAAACTGACGAACAAAAAATCGATTCACAGAAGCGTTATTCTAACCTCAGAGAGAGTTGACCGGAGGGAAACAAAGAGAGACGCGAAGCTCTCTGCGATTGCCTGCGAATCCTTCTCGACCGTAGCAAGGTTTCTCAAAATCTCTCCTTGGTTCAACGACGACGGCTCGGATTTTCCGCCGCGGTCTAGGTCCGAGCCAGTTTCCGCCGAAGAATCGTCGTCCACCGGCCGATCAATATCAGCTTCAGCTCCGGTTTCCATTTTTCCCGGTGGGTACGCGATGGAGAAGTCAGAACAAAGATAGTATCTGTTCTTCCATGTTTTTAGGAAATTAAAAAGTCACCCCACTACTCTTTTATCATTGCATATATGACCCAAAACATTTTTTCGTACCATATATAAAATTCTCAATATGATAATACTTTCAAAAGCGTTAGAGCATTTTAACTTTAACACCCATTAAAATATCTTAAGTCATTTTTTAATGTTTTTTTCTTTAAAACTCTTGTCTTAAGGTTCAATACATAAAATTTTTCTCATCAAAGTTCATAAAAATTTATTATATTTTAATGAAAAAGGTGTTAAGACACAAAAAAAATCACCATTAATGATGCTCTTACTGTTATTGCTTGATGAGCTACAAAAGGATTTGTTACCACATTCGAGCAAAATTCCTGGAGGTAACAAGAGTGCCAATTCATCTGGTACAATCGTGCATAGCGGTAGTGAGAAATTCACAATTTTGTTTTTACGTTTTGAAAATGAACAATTGAAGGAAGCCAAACTTTAAAACAAATTAACATTTTCTTATGGAAGTAGTTTAACTTAAATAAATCTGTCTTCATTGTCGATGCTTACTATCAAAAATTTTAGATTATGAATTGTTTTTTGTCCTCAGCGAGGAGCTAAACTAGTAATAGAAGCATCGTCGACGGAGAAGGAACCAAACGCATCTGTGGATGGACGTGCTCTCCCTACTTGTTGTTCATGCCTGCTTCGGAAGAAAAATCCAGGTGGATGAGGTACGGCGAGAGCGATTGAGCTAGTAGTGAGCATTTGGACGATTGCTGACATAGTTGGACGATCTTCAACTTCTTCTTGAACACATAGTAAAGCAATATGGATGCATCTGATAATTTCGGTTGTTTGATAGCTATCTCCAAGCTGTTAAACATTTCAAACTTAAGTCACTGTAAAAATAAGCCATAAAAATGGAAGTTTTAAGGCTATTTACTCACATATGTAACCAAGTTACCAACACTATCATCCATGTGATAGATACTACTGTTCTTCTTGCCGCTTATAATCTCAAGAACTAAGACCCCAAAACTATAGACATCTGATTTCATGGAAAAGTGCCCGTACATCGCATACTCGGGAGACATGTAGCCACTGCCAGAATACTTACTTGCTGAGTTAATAGAAGAATATTAAAGTCTACAAAGGAAATAAATAGCAAAAGGAAAACTTACTAGGTTCCTACTATTCTTCTTGTATTCGCTTCTGTTTGGTCCATTCCAAATATTCTCGCCATTCCAAAATCTGCGACTTTCGGATTCATATTAACGTCCAACAGGATGTTACCCGCTTTGAGATCACGATGGATGATTGTGAGTCGTGAATCTTGATGAAGATATAGGATCCCTCTAGCAATTCCTCCAATGATATTATACTGGCTTGTCCAGTCCAGTTGGCTTTGCATCGTAGAGTCCATACATGTATATTTAAAATGTTAAAACTAAGAACATGGCATACAATATTTAAGATATATCTTAGGCTTAGTATAGAATTTGTCTGACCAAAAAGGAAATAATCGAGGCTTTTGTTGGGTACAAACTCGTAGACAAGTATCTTCTCTTCTCCTTCCAAACAAAACCCAAGCAACCTTACCAAATTTCTATGTTGAAGCTTTGCAACAACAACAACTTCGTTCTCGAACTCCCTTTCACCTTGTCCCGATGTCTTCGATAGCCTCTTCACNGCAACTTGTACTCCACTAGGAAATGTACCCTACAAGAGATATTTATTTTTTAAACAAAAAATGGGAATTAGATACAAGATTAATCATAAAAATGAAGAACTACTCAAGTTAATATTCGTTACAATGGAAGGAGTATATTAACAACTAAGTTTATTTTGTTCCGCAACTGTTTACAGTTAAAGGTTGTGTCATCCAATTCAAGCTCAAGAATCTATGTGGGAAGACTCTCAGTCAAAGAGAGGGTCTTCAATACAAGTTTTTCAAGTGCCACACACATGAGCAAATTAGGGCAAGTTAGGGCACGAGACCTAGGGTTCAAAGTGATCGGGGATCGGGTGTCACAATTTGATATCAGAGCCTAGGTGACCATATGTTTTAAAAAAAAAAATGTTTTAAAATGTTTCCAGAAACTTCAAAAGGATTTTACAAATGTTTTATGGGAAATGATCTTTGGGTATCTATGGTCTCGTGCTAGAGTTGTGATGTTTGCTTGTAAGTCTTAGGATGGTTAAATAATTCTAGGTTCATTGCGCATGTTTGGTTAATTTTAATAAGTAGGGTCGGTCTGTTTCGATCAGAAGAGTGTAGTTCAACACGTTGTCCAGTGTCAAAGCCACACCTAGTGTGAGTTTTGAATTGATTAAGTGTTGGAGTTTGTAAGGCAAGCCATTAAGAGATCGAAGAAGAGTAGAGGCACACAAACTTCAACAATGGAATGTTGGAGAAGTACCAGACACTACAATCAAGTTGTGAAAAGTGGAAATATAGTGAAATCTTGGGAAATAAAGTTGAGCAGAATGAGGTCCTTACAGAAATGGAAATTGCAAGTGTTGGTCAGGTAAAGTGAAGTCTAAATCAGGAGATCGGTATGGGTTGAGCTCGATGTAAGATAGACATGGATGTCGGTAAGAGCAAAGGGTGTGTAGACAAAACCAAAGGACTCAAGCTTAAGGATTAGTGTAAGAGGTGGAGCTAAGCTTCATGATCGTTTACCACTGCGATGTGGCTATCTTCTAAGAACAATTGCGTAATGAGAAAAGATGATTGGGGAGAAATGTGTTCGAGAAGGTTTGCAAGACTAACCACTTCAAACAAGTTAGTAAAGACGGTAAAAGACATGGTGTATACTTGTTGGGCTGCCAAAAGATTGGATGGATGTTCAAGTGGAAATCTTTGTGGAGTTGCGGAAGTTTTTATAAGACACAACGAAAGCGTGGAACCCAACTAGAAGAATATATTGGTGAGGTGCTAGGGATGATACTTCAAAGTTTGAATATCAGAACAAATGGATGAATTAATGAAAAATCTTGTAGGGAACGACCTCCCTTACAATGTGTTTACATGCAAAAGTTCTAGCAATGAAACCTAGGCAGGAACGATATCATAATTATAAAGGTTAGTCAAAAAGCGCAAAAGTTTTGGGTTAAGACAATGAGACGTTACTAGAGTACTAGTGTACGGTCGGGTTTGACTAGCTTCCAGTGTAAAAAATTGGGATATGGAGATGGTATTTTCTTTGAAAAAATGGTCTTCGGATGTTCGATAGTAAGCAATTGTGGATGTAACGGTGATGGGGGTAAAGAGATGTTGCAGGAGGAAGGAAGAATTTAAGAGCGATAGAAATGTCATGTCAGAATAGAAGAATTTTTTTAGATAGTGTGACACGGAAGTGGAGTCGGTGTATCAATGCATCTCTCAAAAGTACTTTTAGCTCCGTAAGGGCTCGAACCGGGTTCACTCATGTTT